CGGGACCAAACTAGCTCGGACCCCTTGCAATGGCCGCCTCGAAGGCGACGAGCCTCTTTGCGCTCCAGACCGACGTTGTGGGACGGAGACCCCAGGGAGCGTCTGTGGCGACAGCGTGGGCAGGTCGCGCAACACAGAGGTCGTGATCGACTGGTGTCGCGGCAGTGGTAGCAGCGGCAGATGCAAGTGTGTCTTCCTGGTGTTGGAGGAGAGCATGTTGAGACGCATGAAATGAGTGCCACTGAGACGTCAATGATGAGGCTATGGTGCCCGCTCGTGCCCACCCCGTCCCGTCATCACGGACTTCGTATATCCTTATGATGGTGGGATGGGAAGGCGGATCGCCATCCCCAGCACAGCATGTATAGTGTAGGGGTTCGTGGGAATTTGGTTCGACCCCCGCAGCCCCTATGATGGAAGCTGTGAAGGGTGTGAGGCCTCATGGCGGTCCTCACTGTTAAGGCCTATGATGGTCCTCACCAGGGGGAGGGGGGAGGGAGACTTGAGAGGGGCATCTAGAGTGACTAGAACCTCCCCGCTGCCTGGGCACGAGAGAATCCTCGATCAAAAGGAGCGGGGGTTCCACAGGCGGGGACCGTCAGAGGTCTAGCCTCTAAATCCCCGACGCCATGCTCATTCACAGTGGGCCCACAGAGGTCTAGCCTCTAGACCCGTTCCCTCTGGACTCTTCCCTCGGGGCCCGTTTTTCTGCCCGGGGGTCGTTTTTCAAAGGTCCCGGGACCCCGTGAGGGCACCAAGGCCGAAGATGCCCTCACATCGTCAGCTACGCTACGCTACTCCCGATCAGCTCGAAGACCGTGCCAATCTAGAACTCGGGGGGGCAATCTTGGTAGTGCCGTGGGCACCCAGGCAGCCATGCGTTCGTCCTACACGGACCGCTGCTTGGACAGGCAGGAGCGGGAGCGGGAGGGGGGAAGGAGCGAAAGGGAAGGCCTCCTCCTCCTCCTCCTCCTCCTCCTCCTCTTCCTCCTCCTCCTCCCCCTCCTCCTCTTCCTTCCTCCTCCTCCTCCTCCCCCTCCCTCCTCCTCCCCCTCCTCCTCCTCCTCCTCCTCGTCCTCCTCCTCCCCCTCCTCCTCCTCCTCCTGTATGGCCCAAGCCCGCGCGACGCGCAGCGGGCCGCGGGGCGCGGCGCGGGCCAGGCGAGCGGCCCTCGCAGCTGGGTGGCCGGCCGGCGGCTGGCCCGGTCTCTCGGTCCTCTGTCGCCGTGCAGCAGCGGAGGAGGAGGAGGAGGAGGAGGCGGAGGAGGAGGAGGAGGCGGAGGAGGCGGAGGAGGCGGAGGAGGCGCAGAGGAGGAGGAGGAGGAGGAGGAGGAGGAGGAGGAGGATCGACCAGATGTGAGAGTGACCCTTCGCTGGAGTGACCTGTTGGTGCGGGCACGCTGGGGTCCCCCGATCGCCGAACACGATACGATAGTATTGTCTCTTGCGCGCTCGTTTCGGTCCCCGAGCGGCCCCCCAGAAGTCCGCGCACCGAAGGTCACTCGTACCCGGGGTCACTCTCGCGTGTAGCCGAAATTTGCTGCACGGCGATCGATGCCCGGCGACCGATGGCCGCGCGACCTCGCGTCGGGAGTTCTACCACGACGCGAGCAAGTCCGGGCTTGCAGCCCAGGCCTGCTCGCGTCGTGGTGAGAGTCACGGCGGGAGGGCTTTGGCCGTTTCTGGGCCCGGGGGCCCTGGGCGTCCAAGAACAGCGCGGGCTGAAACGGCGGTCCGGGGGGAAGGCTCCTAGACGTCCAGGAGCCTTCCCCCGGGGCCGCTGGTACCTCAGCAAGGGCCCATGCAGAGGTACCTTTGCAAGGGGCCACTTGTGGGAAAGTCACGGCGTCGGGGGTCTGCAGATGCGGGTCCTGAGATCTTCGCCGCTGTCGGGGTGCGGGGGCCCTCCTCGGGCCCCTGGGGCCGTCAAGAAGCGGTTCAGGGTCGAGATTTGGTCCTGCAGGGGCTGCTTGTTGCTTCCCCCCCCTCCCCTTTTCCTCGCGTTCCGCTGGCTGGGGCGCCATGGAATTTTTCCCAGGGCGGCCCCAGACAGCTGCACGTGAATCCGGTGCCCATTGCACGTGTGGGAACGCGTGAGGAAGGGATACGACGATTCATGCCTCGGGCTCCAGGGCCCGTGTCCTTCAGGACCCGCTTCCTCCGTGCCAGGTCGGGCAGCTCCGGAGCCTCGACGCGAGGGGCGCTCCGGAGAGGGCCCCGCCCCCGAGGGGCCCGGAGCCGAGGCGCCGCAGAAGGACGCCGTGGCGGCCGGTGTCTGGAGGGCGTCGGCCTCTGCGGGCCGCCCGCATCCCGGGCCCGGGACCGTCAGAGAACAAGGGCGCCCTCGAGGGCGCGAAGTTATTCGCACTTCGCGGTTCGGCTCCGATTCCTCTTCCTCCTCTTCTCTCCTGGGAGGCGGCGCGAGAGCGCGAAGTCATTCGCACTTCGCGCTTCGCGCAGCGCGAAGCGCGGAGCTGGGAGCCTTTGGAGAAGGGCTCGGGGTGCAGAGCCGGCCCCCGGGGAGCAAGAGATCTGAGCGGCGGAGGTCGGGTTGACCCAAAAGGGGGGTCCAGCGGCAAGGGGGTGGTGCAAGAGGTCTGGTGCAACAGCTGTGTGGGGTGGCAGTACCTCTGGGGCGTGCAGTACATCTCCGGGGCGCATATGTATTCCTGGACCCCCGCGTGCAAGACATTGCTTGCAACACGATGCAATACAATTCCCCGCCGCAGCACATGTTGCAATGCAGTTGCCCCAAATCTATTGCACCACCCCCTTTCAGCTGGACCCCCTTTCGGGTCACCCGAAGGAGGAGGGGGAACCAGGCGGAGCCAGCATCTCGACCTCGGTGGGCGCCAGCAGACGGGGTCGGCGCGAGGCCAGCGGAAGCGAAGCGGGGGCGGCTCTGCGCGCACCGAGGCGGAAGCCGGCGGATGCAGGAGGTGCGTTCCAGGGAGACGTCGGCATGCGCAGTGCAGGTCCAGGGCTCCAAGCCGTGGTGAAGCGTCCCCGCTCGCCTATATAGGCCTACCACAGAATGTTATAAGGACCTTTTGTGGTCTGCCCGACATGTTCTCAGAACGCTTCTGGCTGGGACTGTCTCGTTTTAACACATGGGATGTATGTTCTAAGCACCTTGTTTTTGTCATTAGAACATGTCTGGGTCCTGAGAACATGTCGTGGTAGGCCTATAGGAATGCCGGGACGGTCGGCCCCTGCTCCAGGTCTTCTGGAGCGGCCCACGAGGAGAATCCCCAGGGGTGGTCGGTCCAGCCCAGCCTTGCTGCCCGCCAGTGGGCACTCGGGTTCATGCACCCAGCCGGGCTGCCCTTCCCTGACGATCCCAAGTGGCGGTCTCCCATTCTACGCGGTCCTCCTCCTCCTCCTCCTCTTCGTCCCCCTCTCCTTCTCCTCCCTCCCCCCTTGCGGCCCTTCCCTGACGATCCCAACTGGCGGTCTCCCATTCTACGCAGTCCTCCTCCTCCTCTTCGTCCCCTCTCCTTCTCTTCCCTCCCCCCTTGCGGCCCATCCCCATAAATATGTTGTGCCAGGCCTGCGTAAGTAGGACCAGCCCATCGGGACCCGTGCCAGTGCTGTCTCCGGCTCGACCCCACCCACACACTTTCACAAGTAATCGCTTCAGGATTTGGTCCGAGCTGCCCCAAATCGCGTACACGGACCCTTCTCGATTCTCGAGGCGACCTTGTCGCGGGGTTCCCCGCCGAGCGTTGGCCAGGACGATAACACTCGTCGAGGGTAGCCTTACCCCGCAGATCCGCCGCGGGGTCCGTCGGCCGTCGCGCACTGTCAGCCCGATTCGCCATCGGCCCGCGACCACTTGCAAACCCGACCCCTACGGCTCTAATCGACGCTGTGGTGTCAGACCCCACCGCTGGGGTTCACCTGGCTCCAAACATCCATCTGATTCTGACCCCCGGCCAGCGTTTCAGAACTCTGACCTGCAGAGGCAGGGCTCAGATCACATGTGAGCGACGGAAGAAGGCGGGGTCGATTGCGCGGACATTGGCGCGTGAGTCCCCCGCGTGAGATCGCACGTGAGCGCCTTCTTCACGCGGTGTGCCACGCTGGCGGCCCGCGTACGCCGCGGCGTGAGGCTGCTATGCCGTCGTGCGTGAAGCTAGGTCACCCGCGGGAGCGTTCATATAATCGCTCTTCGCGCCTCGCAGTCTGGGACAGAGCGGCTGCCCTTTCTAAGGGTGCGGCGCGAGGGTGCGAACAGTATCGCCCGTCGCGCATCGCTGGGCGCGATGCGTGAATTCAAGGGAAGAGAAATCACCCGGACCCGATAATTGGCGTTTGCTAAACGGCCCTGGGCGTTTACTGGACAACCCTACCCTTTTCGATTCCTTCCTTCCTTTGGGTGCCTCTTCTAATCGGCTTCGCTTGTCGGGGTGGTTATTCTGGGGGTGGGTTTTGTTCCCTATACGATTGCAGGTGACTTGGGTGAGACCCCGTTCTTGCCGTCGCTCGTGCGGTCTCCTCCCTCAGATCCGACGGCGCGGAACATTGAAACGCCGCAGTGAATCACGACCAGAGCCCCGGACCCCATCTTTCTGCGGTATCCTCCGGCCCAGATCGACCTGTGAGGGAAAATCCAACGGCCCGAAATTTGGGGAAAATCCGGCCACGGAATTATACACACAGACACCCTCCGATGGACTGCTCCTGGACCCCAGGGGAGGGTGGCGGTGTATAAATCACTGAGAGCCAGCGACCTTATACACCGTCGCCCTCCCTGAAGCTACATGCAGCATTCGTCGGAGGGAGTCAGCGTAAATTTTCCCGTGGCGTAAAAGCGCTCGGCCTGGACACAGTGAGGCGCCAGGACCCGAGGGCGATTCGCACCCTCGGCGCCGCCCCTCGCAGTCGGCCGCTGGCCGGCAGCTGCGCGCTGACGGGTGCGTCGGCCGCCCGCTCCGAGGAGGGCCGCGCGCCTGCCGCCGCGTGGGCGAGCGGGGGGAGGCGCGCCCCCGCCGCGGGGCCATGGACGCGACGTCGGCAACGCTGCAGGCCCGCAGGGGGGCGCGTCCCCCCCCCCCCAGGGGCGCGCGCCAGCCCCGCCCGCCAGGAGAGGAGAGGGGCACCGCCAGGGGTTGGGGCCAGCATGGGGGGTTCTGAGGTGGCCCAGCTCTCGCGCGGCGGGGGCAGGCTCCAGCATCCCGGTTCGGGAAGGTTTCTTGCCGTGTTCAGCCTCCGGGGTGCCGCTGTCGGTCCAGGGGCCGTCAGAACTGGATCCGTGGGGAACAGTTTCACCAGGTGGACCCCAGGAGGGGTCTGGGGACCGATTCTGGGCGGATGTGGCCTCGCCCCCGCCCCCCAAACGCCCACGGTCGGGGCTCACCTTGCTGGCCCAGGTTGGGAGCCATGCCGGCCCGTCGGCCCCTGTGTGCCCTCCAGCTGGCCCGGGTCTGGGAGCGGCTGCGCGGCCGGCTTGCCTGGCTTCGTATCAGGGCCTGGCTGGTCCGGACTTGCGCCGACCTGGGTTGGTGTGCGTCCCCGGCACTTGGCCCTGCGCGCCTGGCTGCTGCTGCTGCTGCCCGCCGGTTGCTCATCGTCGAATTCTTCGCCGTCGGAGCGTCCCTCATTCGTCGCGGCCTCCCCCCCCCTCTCTCCTTGCACTCCGGACACTTCGTTTGTTAGCGCCACTACCTAGCTGTTACGCTGGTGCGGATCTCGCCGCCTCGCCGCTGACGTAAACAGTGTGCGTCCCTGGCATGGGACCGCGCTTTTGTCCCGTGCGTCAGGGAAGGACAAGGGCTTCTGGGCTCCTTCAGGGGCAGCAGTAGGGGGGGGCGGGGCCAGACAGGCTCGGGGGGGGGGGGCGCATCGAGCACCCAATCGCCCATCCATCGCCGATAGGGGCCCCACCCCACCCTGGACCGTTCGGATTCGTGATCAGGGGGCCCCATGGTCGATCTGTCGACGATTTATCGCCGAGTTCAGGTCGATGTTTCCCTCCTTGAGCCAGCCCCCCCTCACGTTTCCCCTCATGCCGCCACCGCCACCTTCTTCCCGTCGCCACGGCAAGGTTCGCCTTGAAGTCCCGGTCAGACCGCGCCCCAGGAAATGTCTGGGGAGTAGCGTTATCGGTGTTTTTCCCTCCTACGTCGATCATCCTTCTGGTCGTCGTCCTCTTGCTCGTTGAGCTCCGACGCCTTCGTGTCTCTGCCTCCTCTTCCTTTTTCTCCTCCTCCTCCTCCTCCTCCTCCTCCTCCTCCTCCTCCTCCTCCTCATCCTCCTCCTCCTCCCCTTCCTTCCGTAGCATGGGCACGAGCATTTGCATGAGGCGGCACTGCACTTCTCGTTCCCCATTCGTCTGCTGCGTAGTCTCTGCACAAGTTATGTGTGTCCGCGCACGCTCTTGTGTGGAGGCGCGGTCTCCCGCAAGGTTTGGGCGAATGGCACGGTCATTCCAGGATGCAGTGGGGCGACGTGCCTCGCGAAACTGCTTCTCCTCGGCCCTCTCCTCAAGGCCAAGGTAGGAAGGCCACAGCTGTATGTAAGGAGTGTGGTGGATGACGTCGCGTTGCAGGTCTGTGGTGCTCGGGAACAGGTTGCTAGAGTACTTGGACAAGGGGTAGAGTCGGTCCTCGACGAGTTCGAGCGTCTTCGGCTTCCTGTCGCGGTGAGCAAGACTACATATCTCTGCAGCAAAAAAGTCGATCGGCTCCTCCAAGGGACCTGGCGTGTGCCTGTCTCGTCGAGAGTGGACTCAGCTCGGAACCTGGGCACGGCCGCCACTTTGGGATCGTGTACGCGTGTAGGCATCGCTAGGAGCAGATTTGTTGCCGCCAAGTCTAGGTCTCACAGGCTCCAGATCCTCAAAGATGTTGGGGCCGAAGGGGGCCTCATCCAAAGGGTTGGGGCCACAGCTGTGGCCCTGTGGGGAAGCAGTGTTTCTGGGATTCCTCCCTCGGCCATGCATGGGCTTCGCATCTCGGCTGCCAAAAGCGTTGGTCGATTGCCCATGGTTCGAGCCTCGGTCTCAGGATTCACTCCTACAGGTTGGGGCTCCTAGCGGACCCTCTGGTCACCTACACAGGGCATGTGGCCTTCCAACGGGCCACTGCGGTGTGGGAGAGCTTTCCGTCTGCGTTTGTCCTTGGGGAGACGATGGACGCTGTTCGGGAAAAGCTGTGAGCCCGCAAGCACTCGTGGAGGGTGGCCTCGTCGCCTGCGGACGTCGCTTATCTTTCTCTGCTACGCATAGGCCATAGGCTGGGAGCCTCGGGCGAGCAGCAGGCTGCGCGACGATCTAGGGACTGTGTGGAATCTTCTTCAGGTATCACCATGCGAAGCGCACGCTTGTGCATGAAGGAGCGGTCAGGGCTCCTAATCGGCAAGCCTTAGAGAGTTCTGGCCGACTTGGGAGCAAGGGCCCTTTGGTGCCAGACAGCGTATTTCCAGCATTTTGGGAGGGCCTGAAACCACTTCTCCGATCGAGGGCGAGAGAGTGGGCAGGTCACCATCAGAGAGCACTAAGAGCGCTGGTGTGCAACGCTCACTGGCCGCAGGCACGCGTGCACGGGCACGGGTTGCATGCGTCGGACATTTGCCAAGCCTGTAAGGGGAGCAGGGGGACGTTGTGGCATAGGCATTATGCATGCGATGTGCACGAGAGCGTCAGGAGAGATGGAGTCTCGCCCTGGTTTGCTCAGAGAGCGAAGCGTGCTTTGGCGGTCGGGGAGGCGGGGGGGGGGGGCGTTTTGCGAGATGTGTTTTGCCCGGCCCCCTTGCGCCCATCCCCGATGTAGAGCCTCTCGAGAGCATATGCTGGGCGAACAGGCCTCCGAGCGGAAGGCTCTCAGAGTGCGTTTTCAGCGATGGGTCCGCCATGTGGCCGCCCTTGCCAGGGGTCTCTAGGGCTGGGCGGGCGCTAGTGCAGGTGGACCACTTTGGCAACCTCCTGCATGCAGCCTTCGGCCCTGCCCCCGGGAGTTTCGGGCCCCGGCGGACGGCCAAGGACGGCGAGGACTGCGCCATTGCTATGCTTACGCAGATAGGTCAAGGGCCGTTTGAGATTTTCCTGGATTGCAAAGCGACCATAGACGCGCTGCTCGGAGGTCCAGGCTCAGGCGCGGAGTCGGACAGCCCCAGGGCGCACGCGTGGAGCCCGTTCTGGGCCGCGTTCAGCGATGCTGACTTCACGGCGCGCAAGACACCCGCGCATGCGACAAGTGCCAGTGTTGCTTCGGGCCGCGCGAGCGAGTGGGGGGGGGGGCGGGCGAATCAGGCTGCCGATCTTCACGCGAAGCGCGGCGCCATGCTGCGTGGAGTCACAGAAGAGGATGATTGCCTCTTTCGCGGGTTTAAGGCGTTGGCGGCGGAGCAGGGGCGGTGGGCTGGAAGGCTCGAAGTCCTGTTGTCGGAGGCTGGCTCGCGTCAAGACTCGGCGGGGCTGGGGGGCCAAGCGCCCGTCGAGGAGCAGCCTCCCGCGCCGTTTCAATGCGATGAGGAGGAGGGGGATGAGGAGGAGGAGGAGGAGGCCGAGTCGTCGTCCGTCGCTGAGCTGGGGGACGGAGGAATGAGCACGACCTGGGCCGAAGAAGCCCAGCTTGCTTCATATATCAAGGGGCGCGCGCTGCTGAAGCGCGGGGCCGAGCAAGCAGCCGAAAGCTGTTCGGTTACCTCTGGATTCACGCGCGGGGGCTACACCTCGGGGGGGCCGTCGAGGCAGGTGCTGCTCGAGCGCTGCAAGCGCAAGCCACCGCGCCCAGGGGTGAAGTCCCTGCTTGTCCGTATTAGGAACGGGTTTCATCCGCGCTACCGCCCCTCCACCCGGTCCCTGCGGCCCAGGGCCCCATCGTGTGTTGAGTTCCAGTGAAGGGGCTGAGCTGGAGACCTGGGGCCGTCCACGCGAGGCCGCCGGGCCGTCTGTGGGCCCGAAGGGGGGAGTTTATGTTGCTCAGCTGCCTTCGCAAGCATATGCCCTCGCGGCCTTTGGGGTTTGGGAGTCCGAACTGTCGCGAGTGAAGGAGCTCGGGCGGTCGAGGGCCGCTGAGGACTCCGACATCGGATCGGAGTCCTCGGACGGCGGCCTGTTCTGAGGATGAACTCGCCTTCGTGGCCAGAAACCGCCACCGCCTCTTTCCGTGGCCAGTTTGGCTCAAGATGGCGCGCCATCGCGAGCGCAGCGTGGATGCCGCCAGTCCGCGGCCAGTCTCAACTGTCTTGCAGCTGCGCCGAGGGGCGACCTGCCGTCCATTCCTGCGTTCCTTCCCGGCGTTGCAGGCCGCCTTGCATATCGCTGCGCGTCTCGTGCAGGGCACCCAGTCCGTCTCGAGCCCGCTGCCGGGTTTCCATATACCCGCGTCGCGCTCACTGTCGCGCATTCATATGGAACCATCGCGTGCTGCTCCGAGCCAGCCAACGGGAGTCAGTCAAGTACGTGGTGGTCCTGCAGTGTACATGGCCAGCAGCGAATTGTTGAACAGCACCCGGATGCCCGTTGTCAGTACTACAGCATCATGTCCGCCACTTTCTCGGACAGCGACGACCGCTCCAATGGCCCCACGTCCCGCAGCCGCAGAGAGGGCCGCCACCAACGCCGCGGAGATCCTGGCCGCGACGATCGACGTCACCGCGACCGCCAGCATCGACGGGCAGAACCCCGTAGAGATAGCCCACGCGCTGCTCGCGAACTCCTGGAACACCGTGGCAACGCAGAATTCAGCTGTCAGGGCCCTGCAGGTGCTCCACAGCAGCAACCCCGAGCAGCAGGACGGGGCACTGTTCGTCACCCACCGACACCGACACGCAGATCAGCCAGATCAGGAGAAAGTGCTGCGCCCGAGGCCCCCGCCGTGGCCATGGAAGAGATCGAGAAGCCACCGCGTGGTCCTGCTATTCATGATTCCTTTCAGGGCGACGCTGACCCACGGGCCAACGCCAAGTGCGTCGAGCAGCAGCTGGGGCCCACAGCCGCCGAACAACTCGCCCGCGATATCGGAATGGTTCCTACCTTCGCTTCCCAACTCGCTGCTGTGCCAGCCACTCCAGTCACTGGACACGCGACTCCTGGATCACAGCAAGAACCACGTCCCGCTCATCAAGAACGACATGGACCTCTACCTGGGATACCCGAAGATCTCGATGTTGCTCTACGGGAACTCATGCTTCGACAAATCGCCACTAGCGCGTCCCGGTTTCAAGATCAAGCTGACTAGCTCCTCGCTGGATCTCGCGAAAGTTTCCGCCTTCTCGTTCAACAACAAGTCACCGCTGCAGAACGCCGACAAGATGCACTCCATGTCGAAGTCGCTCGCGCTCGCAGAGAACAAGCCCGCCAAGCGTCAGAACAGCAGCAAATGTGGAAACAGATCGACCAGGTGCGCGACGCACGTGCCCTCGCCGAAGCACAGATCCCGATCGCACACCTCAATCGCCTTGCCGAGCGGGACCGTCAGCCCGACCCGACGCTCTTCGTCGCGGGTTGCCAGCGCCTCCTGGCTGGATTGCAGATGCCAACCTCCAGTCTGCTCACGTGGAACTACCCGGAGACGGCGAACCTGCCCGCTGATTCGTCGTACAAGGCAAAGGAGACCGCGCTGTCGCAGCACCCCGCGCCCTGGCCCTCTCGCGCGCAATGCGCCGTGCAGCTGGCCAATGGATCGACTGGCACAAAAGGCCAGCCAGTTGACATCTACATCAACCCTGACAAGCCCCCCAAGCAGATCAGAACAGAAGCCCGGGCCAAGAAGCTCCTTCAGCTATTGCAGCAGCGCTGCCCTCGCCAGCGGTGGAGAGCTTTTCGCGCCAAGGGAGATCCACTGCGACTCCATGCCCGTCGCCAATATCATTATCCGAGGCCAGGCAGACCCCTTCCATCCTCCAGCGGAGCGAGCAAGGCTTCGACAATCCGCAGTGCCAGTCCACCGACCGAGGCTGTATCCCCACTGCCTTCCAGGCGCTCTCTGCAGACGCGGAGTCAGCCACCTGCCGCGCATAACCCTCGCCGCGCCCCCCAGCAGCACCACCCCGCTGCGGTGCCGACCGCCATCGTTTCAGAGAACGCGCGCGCTGACATGTCCTACAAGGGCAGGCGCTACTTCCACAAACTAGCCGCCGCCAGATACTTGATGCGCAAGCACAAGATCACGCTCCTGAAAGTCTACGGCCTCGCTCACTTCAAGCTCGACCCTGAGTGCACCGAGCTGCCCGTGTTCCTGCGCGCCGTCGCGGGCACGCCCATGGTCATCATGAATGTCAACCATGCCGATTAGATTGTCGCTGCCATGCCCAAGGTCGAGCTGCCGTCCATTCCTGCTGATGTTTCTTGCGCTGCTAGTCGCCATGCGTATCACTTTGTGCCCTGCCGCGAGCTCCCAGATCGTCTTGATCCCCACGCAGAGCATCCGCATCGCCGCATCGAGCCTCGCGCCGCGCATCAATATCGCGTCGTCGTGTTCGGCCCCGTGCCAACTAAAAAGAGCCATTCGAGTGCCCAGTGGTTTCGAGGTGGCCCTGGCCAGTAGCACCCCCTTCTCATGCTCACCTCAGCCGAGCTCACCATCAGCGCTAAGGGCACATACGACGCTACGCTGGTCTCGGACGACCGCGCCAGCACCCACGCGATCATATCCTTCATCTTTGGAATCAAGACGCACCGGCCGCTCATCGAGCAGTCCGTCCTCCTGTCGATGTCTGATGCTTCGTCATTCACCATATTTTCCCCGCCGCTGCTTGTCTCCACGAAGCTTGACAGCGTCCACATGAACCTCCCCGCCAAACAAGCCGTGCAGGCGCGCCCCGCCTATGAGATCATCGGTGCCGCGCTGCGCGCACGCTGGCAACCCAGCTTCAAAGCGAAACCTCTCGACGCTGCCAAGGGCGCCGACTACATTAACATGTTCATGCCGAATGGAGCCCCCATCGTTGTCGGGTCGCTTCCCAGTCTGCAGCTCAAGACCACCATGACCAGCACTCTGCCGTCAGCTACTGGACCAGCAAATCTGCCACAATGCGTCTGGCCCCCATCCCGTGGCCGCGCTTGACGGGCATGCAGATCTCCCTTCTTTCCTCTACTGGGACCAGTGCTACATTCGCTTTCTGAGCGGCTCCGAATTCGCCCCCCTGCTGGTAAACGGCAATGTGCAGGGCGAGGTCATCGCTGACAATGCTTCCGCGGACACCCCCCCGCTCTCGCTGATGAGCGTGGACACCAAAGTCCCCGCTGGCACCGCTAAGTCCCTGATCAAGAGCTCTGCGGCAAAGCGCACGCACGCACCACCCAGCAGGACCTCCTCAAGGGAAGCACAATCCACAGGTACACCGACCGCTGCGACGCCATGAAGCACCGCGCTGGTTGGCTGCCCGTCGATGCCGTCTCCAAGCATGTCTTCGCCATCCCCGCCCTCCTGCGCACGCTGTGCCTCTTCCAGGCTACGCACGTCGCTCCATCCAGCGACCTCAAGTTCTACGGCGAGCCCCACGGCGCGATCGCGTTCGGCTCTGGAATGGTACCGAGTTGCACTGCATCAAGGCGGGCATGGGCGCTAGCCAAGGACCCCATCATCTACATCGCTGACGCGTGTCTGGAGGCCCCGAGCGGCACGCAGAGCCTGGCTAATGGCTTACGTGATGCATGCGCTGACGTCATTGGCCTGCTAACGAACCCGTTCGACACTCTGAGTCATGTGTCCACCCTACTCACTGCCTCGGAAGGGGCCCGCGCTCCTCCCCGCGCAGCCGCGCACATGTTTTATCGTGCCTATGTGGCCTGCCGCGCCCCCCGCTGCCACTGCCCTCCGAAAGCTCCCCTGGCCGCGCACGGGCCCTCCTGGCGCGGGTCCTCGGTTGCGTGGCAAGCCAAATCCCTGGGCGCCCTTCGCGGGCCCGTGGCCTCGCCGGCCCTTCATGGGGCTCATCACTTGGCAAAAATAGTGGCAACGGGGTAATGTATTTCAGCAGTTGCAGAGTGGCAGCGCAGCCGCTCACCGCTTTGACAAGGATGCATCCGTCGCAGGCCGTGGACAGTTTATCCCCGGCAAGGCGATGAGCTCGCCACCGAACTCTTGTTGCATAACAGACCTGATCGCCGTGGCAGTTTGGAGCCCGCCATCAGTCGTTCAATCTGCCCTGGTTCCAGCTGTTGCCCATGATGCGCGCTGTGCAGCGGAGTCGCCCTCGGGCGCGCGGGAACATCTCTGGTCTTCCCAGGCAGCCAGCGCGCAGTACTACCGATCTCCCATGCGCCAAAAAGCTGAATCGCCTTTTCTCCAGCCAGTACAATGCTGCTGCCGCCCGCGCCGCCCACAGTGAGCTGAGAAAGGTGGAAGTCGCGAGTCCACCCCGCCAAGCCATGTTCCAACGTATCTATGCAGTTACGCCACGCGAAATGATCTTCAAGTCGACTTTCACGGTCACGCCTGCCAAGATCCCCCCTGCCTGGGGCCGTCAAGAGCCCATGGGAGAGGGAGAGCTACGGAAGCGCTGGGAGGCACTGACCGACACTCAAGCAGATGCGCCCGAGCTGGCGCTGGTCTACATTCGGGACCTTCAACAGTGGTCGGACTACCACGGCTAGGGCGCATATCTTTCAGCAGCACAAGTGCGCGTTCGAATGCACGGACGCACCTGACTCATTCCCGTTCTACCTATCCTGCCCCGCCCCGTCGAGGCTCCTCGGGCTCCCTGACCTCCCCCATCATCCAATCAACACTGACGGCATGGGGGCTGGACGCTGCCGCAGTATATGCAGCAGACCCCTCCAGCCCGATGTCTTTGCCGTCCACGGTCTCAAGGATCGCTATGGCATTCCATATACACTTCAAAATCAAATCCACTGCCAGCGCGCGCGCGGCGGCTGTCTCGAAAGCAGACCTGGTCGCATCGCTCTGTGCAGCACACGCATTACTATACAGGTAGAGGCGCTAGGCCTGAGCACAGCGGCAAAGACATATTCATTTGCCCTCTTCTCGTTCGTGCTCGTGTCCGCCTGCCCTCTTCCTTTCTCAGGGTACCTATACTCCTCCTCCTCCTCCTTTTCCTCCTTCTCCTCCTCGTACTCCTCCACCACCTCCTCCCGAACGCTATGCCTCGAAAGACGCCCCCTCCCCCTTCCAGTTCTCTTGTTCTGTTCCTCTAAGTGTTCCCGCAGCGGGTATTGGATACCCTCAGCTTCCAGCTTCTCTTGCGTGACTGCTTGGAAGAGGGCCGCCAGTGAGCCGGAAGTTCGCACGGAGGGAGGATCTCCTCTGTGCCAAGAAGGTATCCTTCGATGGACCCCCCGCCCCATTTTGCCATGCGTAACCTCTTCGGACCTCCCTCCTTTTTGTGGCCAGCGCACTCTGCCTCCTCCGCCCCCTTTCCGTCCTCCTCCTTTTCTTGCGCAGGCTGCAGGGCGCACGCACCCACATCGTAAGACGCCCTCCGCCTCCTCTCCCCTCCTCGCCACTCTTCCCCCGTTTTCCCTCGCCCGACGACATCGGCGAATTCTACATCTGAGGGCCGCCCCTGGGCCCGCCCCCGCCCCCCCCCCTTTCCGAGTGGGCCCTGCGCCGCTCCCCTGTCGCTGCGCAGTTACCTCGTTTACTTCCCCCCACCTCCCCTCCTCTTCTTCGGCGTCCTCCCCCCACTCGTCCACCCGCTCCTCTTGAGGCGCCATTCGCTGCCCCCCCCGCATAGCCCAGAGCGCTCCCGAACGCTCCAGGGTCGTTCCGCGGCCTCTCTGGCAGTTCCTGCCCGGACACGTCCGCCCCAGACCACCTTCTGATTCTCTCCATCGCGCCGCCCCCAGCGGATCAGATCACGGCCCGCTCGGCCCAGCCAGGAAAGGGCTCCTCTCTCGATCCCCCCCCCCCCCTCTCCACCCCCCCCCCCTCTCCACCAGGGGGGCGCAGAGAGGATGGGGCGCGCTGGGCGGGGCGACCGGCGCACGGCCGCGAGGGCGTCGCGCTGCGGGGCCTTTGCTCTGGCTACTTCGAGACGCACGTTTCTCCGGGCCGCGCGCAGGGGGGGGGGGCAGGGGGGACGGCCCAGCCATCTGCCAGGCGGCAGCGATGCGGCGGAGGAGGAGGAACAAGAGGAGGATGGCGACCAGTGCAAACCCAAGACGCGTCAACGATATTGCATTCAATGTTGCCTCGAAGTTCCCTCGTCATAGGTCCATACAGGAGGTTATTGCCACTGCGGGAAGTGCCCCGTCTGAGAGTCCTGAATCGCACCAGAACGCCGTGCCTAGGACTTTATCACCGCGAATCCACGTGAATGCTGCGTCTTGGCAAAATCTTGCCGTAACATCACATTCCTGCGACTTCAACACCTCGAGTCCAAGTAGCTGTCGCGTTGTCGCGTCCTGACAACCAGAAATCGCGCCGGATGACAATTCCTGATTCCTGAGGCTTTGAATTCGGAGTCGTTGAAATTGATGCGAACTGCCATACCGAATGCGCGTGGCGCTAAGCTATTGCGAACTTTACATCGAATGCGAACGGCGCTAAGGAGAGAGCCACAGTTTGAAAACGGCCCGCCCTCCATCCTTGAACTATCAGCAAGCTTGTACGACGGATGCGCGCGGTGCTAAAGCGAGAGCCACATGTTGAAAAACACCTGCCCTCCATCTGTGAATATGTTTCAGATTTCAAGGTTCATGATCATTGGTGGTGAGGAATTCTCAGGCGAAACGCCTGGGCCGCCCTACCGACATGTCTGGGGGTGCGACACGGAAGAGTCACTAATAAGGAAAGAGGGTGAAGGAGGATGGCGGAAGAGGACAGGAGGAGGAGGAGGACGGAGGACGGAGGATAGGGCGGAGAAAGGAGGAGGAAGGCGCATGAGGTGGAGCAGCAGCAGATCGAACATGACAAGGTTCGAGGACGGAGGAGGAGGAGGAGGAGGAGGAGGAGGAGGAGGAGAGAGGAGAGAGGAGAGAGGAGAGAGGAGGAGGAGGAGGAGGAGGAGGAGGAGGAGGAGAACGGAGTAGAAGGATGGGGAGGAGGAGGCGGAGGAGGATAAAGAGAGGGAGGAGGTGGAGAAGGAGAAAGGCGGAGGAGGGGCAGCAGGAGCAGAACGAAAACGATTCGGTAGAAAAGAATGCGATTCATCAGGATGAAGGTGAGGGGTTGGCTACCGTGAATGAGGACGAGGACGGGGAAGAGGAGGAGGAGGAGGAGGAGGAGGAGGAGGAGAAGGAAGATGAGGATGACTGGGAGCATGAGGACAAGGAAGGAGTACGAGGTAGAGGGAGACGTGGAGGCGACGAAGTTTGTGGCGGAGCAAAAGGAGGAGAGGGGGGCACGGGTGGATGGGAAAGGTCAGTCGCAGAGTAAGGCCTTTGGGGGGGATGTTGTCGTCACCCCAGGCTTGGCAATCAGTCAGCAGGCTGTGGTTAGTTGTCTTGTCCCAGCTAAGCGCGAGGATGCACATGCTGCCCTTGGAGCACGACGTGGCGTCCGGCCCTTGTTTCCTTCTCTCCCTCCACCCTCCCTCCTTCTCTATCCCTCCTCTCTCCTCCTGCCACCTCCTCCTTCTCCCTCCTCCCGCATCTTCCTTGGTACTCCCCCTCCTCGTCCTTTCGTCGTTTCTCGTCACTCCTCCACCTCTCCCTGCTCACTCATCCCCCCTTTTTCTTCCAAGCCTCCCCCTCCTCCTGTTCCTTCCCTTCCTCCCTCTCCTCTCTC